CTTGGTATATACGTTGGACATTATAGGACCTTGACGCACATCATTTTGTTTTCAGATAAGATTCAAAATGGCCGACTGACGGCCATTTTGTTTTAATAAATGTGGTTCTAGTGCCATATCTCTGACTTGCTGTGACTGATTATGTTCAAATTTTAAATATTCATTATACATCATGTCATAGATATACAGATATATTGGTTTGACAATCCTATTAAAAATGGTCGAATGGTGGCCATTTTTGTGCTAAAAAATCATCAAAATCAAGCATTTATCGGCTGTTTACAGATGGATTTTGTTCAAACATGGTATAATAGTTGGACATTATAGGACATTGATGTACATCATTTTTTTTTCAGATAAGATTCAAAATGGCCGACTGGCGGCCATTTTGTTTTAATGAATGTGGTTCTAGTGACATATCTCTGACTTGCTGTGACTGATTATGTTCAAATTTTAAATATTCATTATACTTGTATTCAAAATGGCTGATTTTGTTAGTCCCCGTTTGGATGCAGTCCGAAAACGGGGACTTATGTTTTGACCTCCGTGCTTCCATGCTTGTGTGCATGCGTTCGAACCTGTATCTTAGAAATGCCTGGACCAATCACAATCAAACTTCACACATACATCATAGATGATATTATACATATGCACATCAATTTGTTTCACAATCTGATTCAAGATGGCCGAATGGCAGCCATTTTTGTTCTAAAAATCATCAAAATCAAGCATTTCTGGCATTTATGGATGGATTTCAAACTTGGTACATGCATTAGACATTACAGGTTCTTGATGCACGTTATTTTATTTTTTAGATCGGATTCAGAATGGCTGACTAGTGGCCATTTTGTTTTAATGAATGGGCCTCTAGAGCCATATCTCTGGCATGATTTGACTGACTATGTTAAAATTTTATATATTCATTATACATGTATTCAAAATGGCTGATTTTGTTTTAATTAATGCTGTTCCAGAGCAATATCTCTCAATACTCGTTTGACGATCAGATACAAATGTCAATCATTTAAATGTTAAACAATCATCTTAATCATATTCCTGACATGTTTATATTCCAGCTATATTACTATAAACAAAACTATATATCTTAAATTCGATAACTAATGGGGACTGTGCCATGTATGGCTTGTTTATTATGGTTTTAAGACTTTCTCTCATACAAAGAAATATGTGCATGGACTCAGTGAATGCCATCTATACAAGTATTCATGTAAAATGTAAATAGAGACATTTTCTTCCAACAAAGCATGCTTCTTTTCTCTAAACATATTAGAGACACAAATTGCATTTACTCCAATATTTGTAATCATTGTAATACATTGATTAAAAAATATTTTTAAAAAATGGTAAAGTCCACAGGTTTTATGACCTTTTTATCGCCAGACGTCTTGCCCAAATTTTTCTGCACTTTTTTTCTTTTCTTTTTCAATATTTAGTCAATTTTCAGTTTTTACTCGAAAAATTTTGCTATTTTTGTCCAAATTTTCTGAAAGAAAGTGCAGACTATGAACAGGCCTATTTTGTGATATAAAAAGGGAACTGGTGTTG